GCGCGCGCGTCCCACCCGTTCGCGCACTGTCGTTTCACCCCAAAATCGGCGCAAACTTGGGCCGGGGATGGGTCGAAAACGGACAGAAAATGGACAAAAGTCCGTTTGCTCCCGCACGTTGGGCCGTCTGATTCGTTCGTATTACTTCAATTACTTCAAACGGACGAGCGCGAACAGGACGGCGTCGCGCGGTGGAGTTGGCCTAAAAAGAGAGAGAAGCAGCCGTTGTGGTCGCTCCTCAAGCTCGGGACGGACTCGCATGTTGGTCTTATTACTCCTGCTGTTTGCCTGGCGTTTCTTAAGACGCAGGTATGATCACGTCCCAATCTTCGTCCTGGGGGCGCACTAACGCCTCCCGTCTTGTGCGCGCACGGCCCACGGCTCCCAGTTTGGCGCGTGTGCTGATGCGCACGCGCAGCGGCTTGAAACCGGAGTGTGTCGGTGCTTGGTTTCTCGCTTTACCTATCTATATGCCCCACAGCCACAGGATTCAGACCCCAAGCATCTGTGTAGCATTACACTAATATAAGAGTTAAACATGTGAGGCTTCTTTGCTCAAATCGCTTTCCAATATGAGCTAGCCGGGCTGTGCTTTGATGTTACGTCGCAGCAAAATTCCACACAATTCTGAAATTTCATGAGCTGATTCTTATCTACTTTCAGATTTACCGTAAAAAAAAGGCTAACCCTATTAGATCCGTGCTGGATCGTGTTTTCCTTGGTCCCAGGTGGGATGCCCTGTTCCCTAGGTCTTATCTTTTCGCTAAATGCATTGTCGGGTCTGATCATACCCCCTTGATTCTTGACGATGGTTCCATCTGCAATAGACCTCCGGCTAGATTTCAGTTTGATGCTTCTTGGCTGTCGGTTGACGGCTTTGTCGATATGGTCGCTGCGAAGATTTCCCACTCCCTTTCCTCCAACCTCCGCTCCTTTGGCCCTCTGGATGACTGGCATTTTTGCTCCTATTCCCTTCGCAAATTTCTTAGAGGGTGGTCGCGTAACCGTGCGGCGGAGGATCGACGCTCCAAAGCCTTTCTTGAAAATCAGATCCTGGAGCTGGATCGTACTGCTGACTCTATTGGGCTCTCTGACGATGGATGGGCCGTTCGTTATAATCTAGAGGCTGCACTTTTGCAGCTGCACCATCAGGCTGAGATTTACTGGCGCTAGAGGGGCACTCTTAATTGGACACTCAAAGGGGACGCTCCTACTGCATATTTCTTTGCGATTGCGAACGATAGGCGTAGGCGCTGTGACATTAACAGTTTGATGATTAATGGTCTGCGCTCCTCTGATCAGTCGGTGATTCTAGCTCATGTAGTGGATTTCTTCTCGTCTTTGTTAGGGGCTAAACCTCAATCGGGCTTGTCCATTTCCCCCCACCTTTGGAGTTCTGGTCTTAAAATTTCTCCCGAGGAGAATGCCTCCTTGATGATCCCGTTCTCTGATCAGGAAATCTGGGACGTGGTTAATTCTGCTAACCCCAATGCAGCATCTGGGCCAGATGGCTTTTCCATTCCTTTCTTTCGGAGATTTTGGCCCCAGTTGAAACAGTTGGTGTGTAGCGTTATTCAGGGTTTCTGTCTTGGGACTGTCGATATCTCTCGTCTGAATTACGCTGTAATATCCCTGATTCCGAAGGTCAAGGGTGCTGATGTTATTTCCCAATTTCGGCCTATAGCACTGATTAACAACTTTGCCAAATTCCCTTCCAAAGGCTTTGCGAATCGGCTGTCCCCGGTTGCGCATAGAGTTATTAGCCCCTTTCAATCTGCTTTTATCAAAGGGCGTTTCATTCTAGATGGCATTCTTTCCCTTCATGAGATTGTTCACGACCTTCACGCGCGGAAAGCTAAAGCGGTTATTCTTAAGTTAGACTTGGAAAAAGCGTATGACTCGGTCAGTTGACCTTTCCTCAAGCAGGTCCTTCTTGCTAAAGGTTTCGACGGTGCTTATGTCCATCGTATCATGCAGTTGGTCTCGGGTGGCCATACTGCTGTTGCTGTGAATGGCGTTATTAGTAACTTCTTTGCGAATGGCAGGGGCCTTCGCCAAGGGGATCCAGCCTCCCCGGTTCTCTTTAACTTTGTGGCCGACGCCTTCTCTTGCATGCTCTCCAAGGCGGCCCGTTGTGGGCACATTACCCCCGTGATCTCCCATCTTCTGCCGGAAGGTGTCTCCCATCTGCAATACGCTGATGATACAATCATATTGGTGGAGTTGGATAATGCATGTATTGCCAATCTTAAATTCATCTTGCTGTGTTTCGAAGCTGTTTCGGGTCTGAAGATCAATTTCGCCAAGAGTGAGGTTCTGGTGACGGGTGTGGACGGGGCGGAAGCCTTGCGAGTTGCCAGGCTCCTTAATTGCGCTTTAGGTTCTTTCTCTTTCAAGTATTTAGGACTTCCTATTTCTCCTGGTATCCTTCATGCGAAGGACTTCGCTCCGGTGGTTGCTAAAGTAGGAAACAGGGTGCTCCCGTGGAGGGGTAGATATAATACCAATGCAGGCAAAGTGGCTTTAATCAATTCTTGCCTGTCTTCTCTCCCTATGTTTCTTATGGGCTTCTATCTTCTCACGAATGGCATGCATTCTGGCTTCGACAAACATAGGGGTGGCTTTTACTGGAATTCAGCTGATAACAAAAGAAAATATAGGCTGGTTAAGTGGCAACTGATGTGTAGGCCTAAAAACCTTGGGGGGTTAGGCATTATTAACACTCGGGTGATGAACACGTGTTTGCTCATCAAGTGGTGGTGGAAAATTATGACTGTGGGGGCCGGGTCGCTGTGGTTTTCGATTCTTAAGGCCAAATATTCCCCCCACTCCGATCCTATGTTTGCTCCCGCGCGGCGTGGTTCTCAGTTCTGGAAAGCTCTTATTAAAGTTAGGCCGATTTTTTTTGGAGCATGTCAAGTTTTCTGTGGGGAATGGGTCTGCTGTTCGCTTTTGGTTGGATTGGTGGTCTGGGGATGCCCCACTTGCCGTGAGCTTTCCGATTTTGTTTTCTTATTGTCCCAATCCGCAGATCTCCATCGCGGAGCTGGCTGCTAATAATTGGGATTTGGCTTTCCGTCGGGCTCTGTCTCCTGAAGAGTTGGAAGATTGGCAAAGCCTCTCTGCCCTCTTCCCCGTGCTCTCGGAGTCGGCTGACTCGGTGTTTTGGCCACTTTCGGCCTCTGGTAAATTTTCTGTTAAGTCGTTGTATTCTAGACTCATTGGTGGTACCCCCTTGGCTAGAATAAATTAAGATTTTTCTCTGGCAGACCTTTCGTGGTCGCCTCCCTACTACGGATCAGATCAAAAAACGCAATGGGCCAGGCTCTGAATTCTGTAGCCTGTGTGGGGCCTTGGAAAATTCCGACCACATCTTTTTCAACTGTGTACTTGCCAAATTAGTTTGGTCTTGCGTCAGATCTTGGCTTCGGGTTTCTTGGAATCCCTCCTCTTTTTCTGATATTAGAACTCTAGCTAAAACTTTGGTCGGGGTCACCAAGAGGGTATTTTGGGTTGGCTTGGGAGCCTTTTGCTGGGCCTTATGGAATATTAGAAACAAATTCACTATTGAGCTTACCTTCCCATCTAAACCTGCTGATGTTCTATTCAAATCATGTATATTCTTGCAGCAGTGGAGATCATTGACTAAGGAGCCTGATCGCGACGCCCTGGACCTGCTCATCAACAAAATTCGGGCTTCGACTTCTCAGATATCCGGGACGAACCCTGCCGTATAATTGTGCTGTTGTTTGCGGATTCTTGGTCTTTCTCCTCCCCGGCCTGCGCGCTGTGTATGGCAGTTGCCTGTATCATGCTTGCTTAGGTTTCTCTTAAACTCCTCTGTGTGGTTTTGGTTTCCTGTGAACCTGTGTTATCCGTAACGCTGTGAACCTGTGTTATCCGTAACGCTGCTTGGTGGCTTTATTTATAAAGTCGGGCCTTGGCCTTTTCTCTAAAAAAAGAAAAAAAGGCATCTAGTCTCAGATTGCATTCGTTGGATACATCAAGCAAGATCCTCAACAATCACCACTGTATCTGCACCCAGATTGCTTCCACCTACTGATGCTGTGCTATATATAACCGTCGCCATGCCCATGGTAGAATTCAGGCGTAACTCTTCCTCCAACCTTCAGGGAGTCGCCATTTCCTGTGCCAGTAAATAGAAACCCTCGACCACGACGGGAACCCGAAACTGTAGTCCAGCGCCTCGTCCGCCAAACCTCCGATGGACAAGGGCAGCCAGACATACCGGGAGTCGCGCAAATCCGACAGGTTCCACCTGTCTGCCATGAAGATGAATGTGCCCGGCAAGCCAGGGAGGGGGAGCACGAATGTGCTCTGAGACAGGAACGTTGTCAGCCGGAGGAAGTGGTTGCCTCCCACGCACGGGTTCCCTAACGTCTCCCATGGCCCCATGATCTTGTGTGTGGCGTGTGCCAGTGCTGGATTTGGAGCCCAACCTGAGCACCTTGAGGTGATCATGTAGTAGGTTCCTCTGAGCTTGAACACGGCCGGAGCCTCCCTGAACCGTCTTACCAATATTCTCCTTATAGCCGATGTGACATTAAGATAATCCGCTGTCAATGGACTGACATGAAGCTCGGTGTTGCCGCGAGTAGCGTAGAAGAGGTAAGCCATGCCGTCGTCGTCTTTGAAGATCGTCATGTCCCTGCTATCAAATCCATGTGGCCGGAAACTGTAGAGGTAACTGAAAGGCCCTGTGGGAGATCTGCTGACGGCCACACCGACAGATGCTTTAGTGTAATTGCCGTCGTCGATGTGCATCCACATAACATACTGCCGAGTACGGTCATTATATATCACCTTAGGCCTCTCAAGAACCTTTGATATATGAAGGTCGTGCGTGATATTGGTACGCTCTCCAGGAAGCACGATTCCTTCGTGAGTCCATGACCATAGGTCCTTCGAGGAGTAGCAGCTTACCCCTATAATGTCTATCTGAAAAATTGAAAACAGAAGCAAGTGTCAGTGCACAACCTACTAAGCAGCAATCAATCACGAACAAACAACAGGTAATAAAAACCAGAGTCATGTTAGGAAAGGTTGCTGGAAAAACAAAGAACAGATTAAGGCAGATATTATGTTAGAAATTTGTACTGACCCGTTGTGCCCCTTCAGGGTGAATTTGATAAGTTGGTCCATCTTTGTTCTCTCCGTACCAATAGTATGTCGCGGTATTCTGATCATACAGAATGCCACCACCATGGGCTTGAATGGCATTTCCATCAGTGTCCAGCCACACCCTACCGGGATAAAAGTACATGCTGTCATTTCTGCCTTTTGTTGGGTTCACAGCAGTTGTTTCACTAGGAAAGAACATGTCGTGTAATGCTGAGGACCCATCCAGATATTCATCGATGATCTTTGAAGCCTTGGTAGAGCCCCGACGTTTGACTGTACGTTTCACTGCACGAGGATTCACCTTGTGAGGAGGTGGCAACCGAAAGTGCTCTTCCTCAACCTGTTCCAATTCTCTGGTGGCAGGCAAATGGCTGGAATAGCTATGGGCATGCCCAGTTTTTACTTGATGGCTGATGAAAAATAGGCAGGCAATGAGGGTGAATCCCACCAAGCCTATTACAATAAAAGATAAGGAAGATCCGCATCCAGCATCGAAGTTGAGAATAGATGGCTTTCGCTGCGTATTCCTCATCTTCGATCTCCCTCTACTAACCTTCATAAGAAAGTTGCAGTAATAAATCCACTATGCTTTACATCCATGTAAAACGTTGAAACAAATTTAACCATGGAGAGCAAAGAAAGAAATAAGTAAAACAACTAATATCCTATATATCGGACAGAATAATCATGGATCAATGCGGATCAAATGAGCGAAGAAGTTCCAACTTAATCATATAGATACCCTTATTCGGCAAGATATTCCTGATGAAATATTAGCCAAACTTTAAAAATCAAGAAAAAAATTGAGCAAGCAAGAATCTGATCAACCAATTTTTATCTAGCACAGATTAAAGGAAAGAATGATCACATTAGTAACTTGTAAGGTTGTGACAGAGAACTATGCTGGGGCGCAGACATGCAGCAATGGGGCATAGCTTGCTACCTTATTTGAAGTGTGACCCCAAATGTTAGAAAATGATTAGCTTGAAATAAATTACTAAAACAGTATATTTTTTAAAACTGCCGGAGTGCCGAATTGATTCAGTGCATAAAGAATCTAGCAATTAGTTGCTTTTGAACAATGCTGACACCGGTGCATGCTGTGCTCTTCTCTTGCTTCCATTTCTACAGGTTTGAAGTGTATTTTTTTGTTGAGAGAGAGTAATCGTGATAGTTAGGCCATGATAATATGCAAGAGCGAGAAATGCTACTATCGTGTCAAAACATGCCAACCTAAGTTCAGGATTTAATGCACTGTGGAGTTATGAACAAACAAACATATGCCAATTCGTCGGCGCTGCATAATCAGTGATGTAAAACGAAAGAAATTAATATAAAGACGTGGAAATCATGAACCTAGAACACTAAGCATTAAGCAACCCATTATTTCCTGTAATTTCGTTATACTTATATGGTTATCTGCAACGAATGTTCTGACTGATGCAATAAAAGATTCAGAACTAATGGATCTGTTCCCGTTGAACGTTTTTTTACTGTTCAATTACACAAAACTGAACTAAGAAACTCCTCAGAGTTGCTTCAGCGCACAATTCAGAGCTACACCCTCAAATTAGCTAACCGAAGTTACCGAACTATGCTTTCAGTCAATGCAGCTGGAAAAAGGTGACAACTACCACTGAACCGCAGTTACAGTTACGGGGATTGTTCCGGCAGTCTGTCGAACTACCCACAATCCCGCTCGATCGATCCAGATCGAGGTTCGAATTCGCTCCCCTGATTTCGCTGCACGATTCGCTACAGGCACAAAACAGGAAGTGCGTGGTACGTACCACGGATACGGCCGTTGGCATGGTCCTCGGCGCCGCTACTCGACCATGTCACCGTCGTCGTCGCCGCTGGATGACCGTCGCGCGGCTGTGACGCCAATGGTGTCGTCGTCGGGGGAAGTCAGCTCAGGGGAGATGTAAGTGCGGGCCGCTGGGTGGGAAGTGGCAGCAGTGCGGCGGCGTGTTGGGAAGAGCGGGCGGCGGCGAGGTGGAGCTTGGAAGGAGCACGGTGGAGGCGTGGAGGGCGAGCCGGTGGGAGGGTGGAGAGGAGGAGACGCCTGAGGTCGTGACACGCGATGTTAGGTAGGAAATCAGACCGAGTAGCTGTCCACTTAGCTCGGAGTAAGGAAAATGAACTGCAGCATACGCTGCACGAAATGTTAACGCCCACACGTGTGGGCGTTCACCATCTCGAACACACGCAACGATCATCGTTGGGGACTTTGTGCACGAATCTTGACACAATCCGGCCGTTTTTCTGCGCCATGTAGGACGAGGCGCGTATGCGGTGTGCGAGACCGGTCGCCCGGACGTTGGTTGCCCTCCCGCGGTCAGCGGTTGCCACTCGGGGGCGTTACGCGTCGACCGCGGTTGTCGTCAAACACGTCGCGCACCTCTCCCCCCTCTCCCTCCCGGTGCCATTTACTCACCCCCGCAGTTGCTGGCACAACCTACTTCGCTTTCCAAACCATTGGAGGAGAAGGTGAGGGGAGAAGGCGACGGCGGAGGCGGAAGAATCGACGGTGTTCGCGGCCGTCGGTGGTGCTCGGCGTAACTAAGCGGCTTCGTCGGAGCGCCTGCGGATTGAAGGTAATGCTCGCTCCAACTCTCACAATCCCTTCCTGCATTTCCCCCCTTCCCTCCCTGTTCGATTCCTCGCTCGAGATTCATAGAAATTCAGGCGATTTGGCGATGCGTCGACGTTCCTGCCGGCGGCGGAGTCCTGTGCGCTAGCCGTTTTCGGTGGCACTGGGCAGTTTCGTGGATGCCGCGGCGGCGCCCTCGTCGGGGTGGTTATGCCTGTCCAGAGACACGCACTATTGTGCCTTGGGATTGGGTAGGTGTCTGTCGGTTTGTTAGTTGCGCATTGGTTCGAATTGGTGTTTGCAATCAATTCGGGGGAGAACTTTAAGGTTGAATTTGAAGTCACTGTAGTTGTCATTGAACCCTAGATCTAGTTAGTTGTTTTTGAAACTGCATTATGAGGCAAACGTGGTAGTTTTGATTAACTATCATGACTGTATGGCAACTACCTCCCTGAATGAATGCGATAATTGCCACAAATGTGCTTTCCATGCGGCAACTAACTTACTGAAATGACTGTGATAGTTGCCACAATCAAGCTTTCCCATGCGGCAACCAAACTATTGAATGACTGTGATAGTTGCCACACACACGCTCTTCCATGTGGCAACTAATTTGCTGAATTACTGTGATAGCAGCCACAAACATGTTGTTTCCTTGTGGCAACTAATTTTCCTGAATGATTTGTGCTAATTGCCACACTGTATGAATGGTAAAGTGTAGTAAACCGGTAGTCAATGCAGTTTCAGCAACCAACTGCACTGGACGGCAACTAATGTGCACATCAACTGTGCCTATTGCCACATGGATAGCATATTCTTATGGCAAATAGAATGTGAACACACTGTGTCTGTTGCCATACCGTAGACAGGACAATGTGGCAAATTGGCTGCATAACATGGCAACCAATTTTGCATATCAATTGTATCAGATGCCATACATATGCTTTTCATGTGGCAAATTTCTGTCTGACCACATCATGTCTGTTGCCATGTTATAGTCAGTACAATGCGGCAAATTCATTGTACTGCAGACGCAATTTTTGTGTTTTTGCCACAATTACTTGCGATATCTGAACACGATGTGGCAATTTTCAGGTTCTTTGATTAGATGTTTTTCATCGCTTTTTTGTATTACGTGTTGCATTTTAACATGGCAATTTAACCCTAGCACATTTTTGCCACTGAACAGATGGCATTTCATTGGTGTATTTTTAGGATAGGGTGTGAGCTGCTACATCTTAGTTTTTGTGATGTGGAGGATTTTGAGACTATCTATCGTACTATCTTGGGCTAACATGGCAACTTCAACATTTTGTTTTCAAGTGCATTTACGATCTGTACACTTTTTTTAAATGCAACCAATGTGCTTACTTGCCACGTTTATGTTTTCGACAATCACAGGAGGGGTGCGTGTGTGTTCATTAGTTGACATTTTCTGTTAGGTGGCAACTGCTTATCTCTTTGCATTTTCGTTTCCACTGTGACAATTTGGTCTGTTCCTATCTCAGCAGAATGGCTCGTGGCGATCATCAAAATGATGACGATGATTTCATGGATCCACCACAGCATAATCGGGCAGCTAGACGGAGAAAAGAGGATGATGAGGTAATTGTCCACACCCCCCTCCCCCCCATCCTACTGCTTATGTTTCTGGATGCCACCTCGAGCTTTGAAGTCGTCTGTCATGAACTAAAATTTCATGACAGTGCAAAACATGGCAACAACTGATCCCTTTTTGTCCGTCTTTTGCAGAAGAAGAAACGTATTCGCAACAGAGCCTCCCAAGAACGACTGACTACATTGACTGACAGATTTACCGATGATCAGAAGGGAGCTGCTGCTGAGATGGGTATGCAGGCTCTGATGAACGTCCGGTGCACGAATCTTGTCAACCCTGTATGCGACTGGCTTGGTGAGATTTACGACCCCGCCTCCAGGGAGTTTGTGATTCCGGGACGTGGAAGACTACCGTTGAATGAGGAATCCGTGTTCTGCACTTTGGGTGTGCCTCGTGGATAGACGAAAGTCCCGTATGAGGTCAATAATGATATCGAGCAAGCGTTGTTCCCCCGTTTGTTTCCTGGGTTGGAATCCATGCCGAACACGTCTGTACTGGCAGATTCGCTGCAGGCAATGACGACCCACGGAGATGTTTTTAAGATGAAGCTACTCATGTATCTCATCTCAGTTGTTTTCGCGCCGACCACTTCTCTTCGGCCAAGCACCAAATGCTTCCCCATCCTGGTGAATGGTCCATCCTTACTACTTTATTTTCCTACAATCTATTTGGATCCGATGTCATGTGTGAAGCTAGTCACTACCAATGCTTTTTGATGTTTTTTTTTCATTCGAATTCTAATGCGGCAACTCGTTGCCCTGAAAATCTTGTGCGGTGCAGGCAAAACTGAAAGATGTGAAGAACATGAACTGGTGTAAGTTCATAGCCGACTTCCTGCACGATGCATTCTCAAGCAAGATGTACCAAAAGGGTTGTCGACTGCATTTAATGGTATTTTTTTTACCAGTCTTATATGTGAACACTCTTTTTTAACACCCTTTCATTCGTGCATGGCAACCTGATTATAACAAGATGGCAACTGCTATAATGACAATATGGCAACCGGCATAATGACGATATGGCAACTGCCATCATATTATGATGGCAACTACCATCATGACAATATGGCAACTACCATTACACTATGATGGCAATTAGCACACACATATGTCAATTAGCACATACATATTAGTATAATGACAATATGGCAACTGATATTTCTTTCTTTTTAAAATTGTTGCACATCAGCTCATGTACGTCGACTGTCTTGATCTATCCACCATGGATTTCACTGGGACAGGAGGCCCTCCGCCTACGCACAAGTTTACTGTTTGTGCGTGGACTATCAACGCTGTCAAGGCTGTGCTTGCCACAGACAGGGTAACTGATACCAAATATGGAAAACTGCAGGTTAGTTCTGGTTTATTTCTCCACACGGCATGCTTACAAATTTGACATGAGGCAACCATATGTTGTTCATGAGATATGACTACCTTTGTTATCCATGGCTTTCTGCGTATTGTATCCATGTCTCACTCCACATGGCAACTCTTTCATTTGTGCTGAAACTTACATTCTCTCTCTTACATCCTAGCTGATTTTTTGTTTTTTTTACAGCTGATGGCCAAGCATGCTATAGACTACAACGTGTTTGGGGGGCCTCAAAACTTTGGAAAGTGGATGGACGTGCACTCAGTTCCGTCTTACCCTACTGAGGTAATCAAAATATCTACATCTATTTGTTGCCTTGGATTATTTTTGATGTCGCGCAAGTGACTGTATTATGGGGTGGTTATTTCTCCTTCTTTGTTTCATGCACAGGCGAGCGCACCTGTTGAGCATCTAATTGGGCAGTTTGCATCTGGAATGACCGGCTTGCTTGGGAAGTTGGTTGAGGGGTGGACATCTCTTAGTGGCTCTGACAGCGACGCGGTTGCGAGGTAGTTCACTTCGTTTGTCCCAGAACGGACACATCGGCCAACTGGTTGACGTGGCCGGTACGACTACAACAGTTCCCAAGAGCTTGCTGACACACAAGATGAACTAGGTGGAGACGCTGGTATCAGCAAGGATGACGACGATGACAAGGAGAACGCGGAAGAGGAAACCGATGATGATGAACATGCTGAAGTTCGTGCATGTGCTAACAAGGGGAAGGATGCACCATATGTCCCCCCACTGGAGAAAGTCAAGGAACATACGACTGCGAGAGGCGAGGGGGTGTTGCCATCAAAGAGGGGGAGGGCTCCAGAGGATGTTGGGCAGGGTTCTCCTGGCAAGAAGTCTAGGACCGATCCCGTAGCTGCCAGGAGGAGGTTCGACTTTAATTTTAGTTTTTGCTTTGTCCATATTTTTTGGAACAGAATGATCCCTTTTTGCACTTGATTTTACTAAGCACGGCAATGAGTTTGCTGTCTGACAATTGCCACCTTTTTTTCCCTCCAACTTACACGTGCAGGGAGGCGACAGCTAGTGGACGAGCAGTTACGAAGAAACAGGCACCAACGCCAACCCGTGCTTCTGCTCGGTTGAACAAAGGTGCCCCCATTGCTGGTGACACCCATTCCACCAGGTCATCTCCTCGTACGATGACGTCCAACACCGGGGATCATGTCGTGTTGCCAGACCTGAGAAAGCCAGCTAAGAAGTAGGGTTTCCAT